AGCTACCACGGCTTGCTAAGTAATTAAAAGTAAAGTACTCATCATTTTGTATTAAAATAAATGTTCCAGGTTAATATTATATGCACAACCGAGAATAATTTGAAAGCTTATCTTTTTCTCACCAAAGCAATCACTAGGGATATCTATGCGCATACATTACGAGTAGAGCACAGAGCAGGATATTCAGAGTGGAAATTTCGTGAATTGTTTTTTTTTCATTAGTAAAAAGTAAGAACTCCTGCAATCCGCAGATTAAATGTAAATAAACTAAAAGACAAGAGTGTCATTCTGTCAGCGGCACCCACTGGATAGCTTTTAATTACAAAATGAAATATAAGAACAATTTAATAGTCTTGCGACAAGTTTTTGTTAAGAATACTTATTAGATAATTACGAAAAAAATAATACAATACCTTATTTAATATTTGTCATTAATGTTGACATTACAGCCATCAAATCCTACAGTTGAACGTAGGCGTCCCCCATAAAAAGCCTAATAAGGGAATAGTTGCCACACCTGGGGTTGGCAACTGCAGTTTTTGTACTTTAGTTGTTATGAGGAAGAATATGACGCCGCTGCCCATCTTCTGGATAGTTTGCCTCTGTCGCCTCCTACGACGCCCACAGGATGATATGAGTATGGGTAGAGAATAAGTAATGGGTATGGGGTAGTGGATATTCTTACGCCGCCACTTCACGGTCTTATTTTATTTAATACTAGCGATCCACCCCGGTTTTTCCTGGTTAGGATTAAGATTTTTTTAAATATTAGTTATGTTATTAATTAACATTACTAATATTTCTTTTAACCACTCCTGGTAAGCTAGAAACGCTTGTGTTTGGAGCGGATCACGACAGCAGTCAAACGGCGGATTCGAACCCACGACCTTTTGAGTTCGCGATCCGCGTTTTGCCATTAGACTACTGTGGAATCAAAAACCATTTATATTATTAATTTTTCGTTTTTTTTTTTCTTTCAAAAATAGTTATTCCAGTGTTTTCGGGTAAAATATAGCCTATAGATAAAATAGAGCCTGTTCTTGAGGTTTCATTACAATCGTTTCAGCATTCAGAAGACAAGCCTGGATAGACAAACAAACAGGCAGGCATACCTACACGCCTGCTCTATTAAATAAATAAAATTCTGGTATTTAATTTATATGAGAATTCACTAATGCTAAAATGGAAGATACTGAACAAAAATACATTAAAAATGACCATTCTTAAACTGATCGTGACTAAAATTTTTACTCGCGTTATGGGAGATATTCTTTCTTTTCTCTTTTTTCTTCTCTTTTCTTCTCCTCTTTATCAGCATATAAATCTCCACTACTGGATATGCTACCATTGTCCCATGGCAGAGAGGATTCCCCTAAATCGCTATTCCAACCTGACGTTTTGCATCTTATCGCTCTCTCCCAAGTGCTGAAACGCTGCTCATGCTCAATTTTAAGATACCGTTAAGTCTCGTGCCGTCTCTATCATTTTAAGTCAAAGTGACTGTGACACAACGAGACTTAACCACATCTTAAAACCTAGTAAGGTTTAAGTATTTGACCATTAGATGCTGCTTCTCGTCGCCTAATGGATAAACTATACCACCATCAGTCGAAAGCCAGGAAATCTCTCTCGATCTTGACGGCTCTGTGGTGCAGTAGCCTAGCAAATGAGTTACATTGTTGAGGGCCGCGAGTTCGAATACCGCACGAAACGAGTGTTTCTATAGCCCACAAATAATTGTTCCTGATCTGGATGTTTGTTCTTGTGCAATTTATAATTGTAAAATGCCTCCACGATACGGGAGAAAATCCTAGTGCTAGGGTAACGATTTCAAAAAAATGCTGGTACTCCCTCCATCCAGGACACAAATTGGGGCAATAGATTATCATCTTACGCCGCTAGTGATGACCTTAAGAGGATCCATCAGTTTCTTTTATTAAGTAATTTATACGTGGTAGAGCCTCGCTGCAGCTATATTATGATTGTAGCATTAATGGGTCGGCTCGACCAGGGAAGGACCACACTCTCGCAGAATACCAGAGTAAAATAGCAGCTTAATTTTGCTGTGTTTCGTATGGCGAGTGTAGAGATCCGGAGACCTTTTTTTACTGGAAACGAAGCATTCCGTCTTAGTTCTCAGGGGTGACAACACATCTGAGTTTTGGTTCTTAATCGAAAATAAATGTAGATGTCCAGCATCCACTTACCATCAGGAGGACAGTGCTCGTTTTTCACACTTATTCTATTTTAAAAAAGCTCCCTTATTTATAATAAGTAGTACCCTAAAAACGTACCTACGGAGCTCTCAGGTACAAATAATGTGTCTTAATGCGAGCCACGGAACATTACGATTATATTTTTGGACACATTCATTACAAATGTTACGCGAGAGATCCTTTTTATTACGGTCCAGGGAAATTAAGCTTTTCCATGTACATTCGCGTAACGAGAACTCAACGGGCAACTACTCAGTGTTTTGCGTGCGTTTCCTTCCTACATAACATAAATAAGTTTCCGAGAAAGAAAAATATTTTAACTGTAAGAACAGTTCTCGTTTTAAGAATCTTCATCTTCACCAGCCCGTATATATACACTCTTGGACTAAGAAGCTTAATTGTCACGCTTAACAGGCTTTATTCGATTGAAAGGAGTTATTTATACGTGGTAGAGCCATGCTGCAGTTATATAGTAGTATAGTTGTAACACGAATGGGTCGGCTCGATCGGGGAAGGACCACGCTCTCACAGAATACCAGCGTAAAATAGTAGCTTAATGCTGCTGTGTTTCGTATGGTGAGTGTAGAGAACCGGAGACCCTTTTTACTGGAAACGAGGCATTCCATCTCAGTTCTCACGGATTACAACGCAGCTGCATTTTGATTCGTAATGAAGATAGATGTAGATGTATACGGGCCACAGCAACCACTTACCATCAGGTAGACTGTGTGCTCGTTTGTCACCCTATTCTATATAAAAAAAAACCGAAGACCATTTTTATCGTCTTCGAGGCACTCCATATATCCATATAGTTCGTAGGGATGCCAATGCTTCCGCATTTTGATCATTATAGAAAATAAAAAAAAATCGTGGTGGTAGAGTCATGCTGCAGCTATATTATGTTAGTAGCACAAATGGGTCGGCTCGACCGGGTGAAAAATGCCAGACCAAATGCCCAGTAGGATTCCCAGACGAATTAAAAGTTAAGGACATATTGTTCAGTATGACGACAACGCGCTAACAAATCTTTTGATCTGGATTTGGACGAAACTTACATTGTGTAGCATAGAGGCATTTGAAGTGTATTATAAAATTAATTTTATCCATTTTCTCTAATTTAAATTTAAAAAAAAAAGATTATGCATATAAAATTATAAGTAGACAAAATTTAAAAAACCCTACGTAAGTCTATGTATATTTGCCAAAACTAACACTACTATACATGGTAGAGCCATGCTGCAGCTTTATTATGGTTGTAGCACTAATAGGTCAGCTCGACCGGGGAAGGACCACGCTCTCACAGAATACCAGCGTAAAATATCAGCTTAATACAGCTGTGTTTCGTATAGTGAGCGTAGAGATCCGGAGACCCTTTTTTACTGGAAACGAGGCATTCCATCTTAGTCCTCAGGGGTGACAACGCATCTGCATTTTGATTCTTGGTTGAGGATAGTTTATGGGCCACAGCATCCTCTTACCATCAGGTGGACTGTGTGCTCGTTTGTCACCCTTATTCTATAAAAAAAATATAGGCCAAAGCATCCACTTATCAACAGGTGTACAGAGTGCGCAATTGTTACCCTTGTAGACTAAAAAAACCTAAACTTACTCTACTCGAAATCACATAAACACTGTACACGAAACAAACATAAACTGCTATTATCAAAAACTAGGAGTAAAAGTTACGGTTTGAAAACTATTCAGTTTGAGGAGCACTATTGTACAATAGCCTACCGAATGAGGTATTTCATGAAAAATCGTTTTCAAAATTTAAAGATAAATTAAAAAGCACTGTCAAACATTAATTTAAAGACAGTGCTTTTTTAATCCTAATTTTGGTATATTTATGTAACTTTATTCATATAAGTCACCGTATTTAAATGTATAATTTTTACCAATTATGTTATTTTTAAGTCTCATATAAGTGAATATTTGTTCTTTTTTGAGATAATAAACTCTTTAAACCTACAACCTGCTCTAAAGTTAAACTTTGGGTTGAAATTAATAAATCGCAATTTCTTACATTTTCCTTTATGACTAAGATAAATAAATTTGATAAAACTTATTTATGATTGAATAAAAACTTTTATTAAAAATGTGAACGTAGCGCTGCCATTTGTTTGGTAAAACTGAAGCGACAAACAAACCCAGTAGTTCATTCAAATTCAACATTTGCCTCCATCCATCCATCACACTCCACCAGGAGATGCTGATCTCTATATGTGATACCTAGAAACCCAATGTAGCTTTAGCAAAATTCATTCAATTTGTGTCGTACGAACTAAAGCCGTTTCACATACGACGGATTAAAAGTTACTCGAAAAGTTTCACTACAAATTCCACGCGGGAATAAATTAAACTTTATCCCCCAGCGTAATTAAAATTTCATACGAATTTTATCGTTTAAGGAAGTTTCGCTGATCTCACTGATCTAACTGAGTGTAGTTACGTTCACGCAAAAAAGTTTATTCGCAGCGCATGTTGAGAAAAGTATAAGTTGTTGATTACTAACAAACTTATTCAAGTAGTCCCTTATAGGAAATGGTGTGTTAAAACTTTCGCCGAAGTAGCTCGGAAGAATAAACCATCTGTTAGCTATCAATAGACGCCGACCTTGAAGGTTTTCATGGAGGAGTTTTGTTCGAAAGGGTAGGAAATGATTTCGCCGAAGTCAGTAACCCAGGCGTGCGTTATTGATGGGCGCGAGTGGCGCCGAGACGCGCGGTATGTGGGTCAGGGGGAGCGACGCGCAGCCGCGCGGCACTGTGTCCTCAGCCTCCAGCCATGGCGGACGCGCCGCCCGAGATCCTCGAGCTGAACGTAGGCGGCGTGCACTACGCAACCACACGCGACACGCTCCTCCGCGAGCCGGACTCGCTGCCGGCCGCCGCGCTCGCCAATCCCGAACATCCGCGCGACGCCCGCGGTCGTATCTTTTTCGACCGCGACGGCGTACTCTTCCGTTACGTCCTAGACTATCTGCGGGACGGCGGGCTCGTTTTACCCGAGTGTTTCCGCGAGCACAAACGTCTCGCGCGGGAAGCGAGACACTATCGCCTACCTGGCTTAGAAAACGCCGTGAAAGAGGCCGACCCACGTCCACCCAATCGCGAGCGAGGATGTATCACCGTGGGCTACCGCGGCAGTTTTGCTTTCGGTCGCGACGGACTCGCGGATGTCAAGTTCCGCAAGCTCTCGCGTATCCTCGTCTGCGGGAAGGTGACGTTGTGCCGCGACGTGTTCGGGGAGACATTGAACGAGTCTCGGGATCCGGATCACGGATTGGCAGACAGGTACACCTCCCGTTTCTTTCTCAAGCACTCGTTTATTGAGCAAGCGTTTGATATGCTGCAAGAGCAAGGGTTCAAGTTGACGGCGAGCTGTGGCAGCGGGACGGCTGGTGGTGCGGCCGAACTCAAACCTGGCGTTGATTCAGAGGAGAACCGTTGGAATCACTACAACGAATTTGTGTTCGTACGTGATTAAATAACGCGTTTCATCTGAACTTGTTAATAAATCAGCTGAGAGCACGAGTTAACGACCGCATACAGCGCGGGAAACGTAACAAATGGTTTTGTCGTTTGCCAGTCCTTTCTCAATTCACTTTCACGCCTATGTACTTTTAAATAAATATTAATTGTTAATCTTAACAAATTTGTAACTTATTACATTTCCATATTTAAATATTACGCTACGAAGCTCTGTAGCAATTTTCAAAGTATTCGCGCTTTTCGCGTAAGCATTCTTCACGTATGTATTTTTTGTGACCGATGTGTATTCCTTTGTTTTAAAAAGGCGTTAATGTTAAAGTAAATAAAATTGATGTAGAAACATGTAGATATAAAAAATAAATTGTAATCCTGTACCAAATATGTAGATAAACGAAATAGTAATGTAAAAAATATAAAAATAGCTCATAAAATAAAGAATTAACTTCTATGTAATTTAACCGTGTAGTGTATAATGTTTTCGACATGTACTTTGGACATATTTTAGTAAAGTTAATGATTTAATTAACGCACAATATCCTAATATATCCAAGAGAAGTTATTTGATAAAAAAATAAAAAATTACAATCACCCAAGTTATTACATAAGACTATTAGATTTTATTTATTGTTTGTCTTTAATTTAATAAATATATGTGTTATTTATATTGAGTAAAAATAATGTTCATATCTTTTTATCTAGTATGTATGTTAAACGTATATATGTATTATTAAATTCAATAGAAAGTTACTCTTACGAGCGCGTGTAAAATGTACCTTGAAAACAATGTGTATAGTTGTAACCCCTAGAGTTCATTTGCCCCGAAATAAATTCCAAACGAACGAATAGAAGAGTAGTTAAATTATATTATAACAAGTTAAAAATGTTAAACATTAATCTGAATATAAATGAGGAATATTGGTGAACAAGTATAAATATAAATGTAAAATATTGCTTTAAAACTACGATCGTTAACGAAATTTGTTTACGAAGTTGTCAAACCTAATTTCTTCTTGCTTCGCAAATATCTTTGCAGAGCTAACCTGATCGTAGAAAAAGGTCGGATTTAAAACTTGCTTTCATATCATTAGATTATCGATATATTTATCTGTAAATTGTTACTTCCACGCCTATCTTCCTATTTTACACTAAGAACTTTAATACCTCAAATACAGCTGTACTAAGTACTAAAATATTTGCTTTCCTTCTTCATTAAAATTGCAAGTTGGATAGGTATATCTATCGCAAACTTTAAAATATTCCATAATGCTGACGGAAGTATCTTTTTTTGAATTAATAAATAACAATTGGCAATTATTAGAATATTCAAAATAATGAATATTCCCGTATATCTATTGTATCAATTTGTTTACTGCTCATTCGCAATTTTTAAGCGGTTATTTGCAGTGATTCTTGTTTTGTAAAACTAAAATTCAACGCTGTGTTTTATCATTATCAACAAGTGTTAGTTGTTACATTGAGCAATGAAATATTGCAATAAGTTAATAATGATGTAATATAATGAGCATATAGTGTATGTGACCCGTTTAGAAATAAAAGAAACTGTTCGTTTTATAAATTTGAATATTTAATATTCTGAATATAACAAAACTAGGTACAAATATATCGTAGACATAGCGCACATTATCGTGCTTTTTATCTTGAAAAAATATAACAGTAATTTATATTAGGAAAGATGATGTCGTGCTTAGATTAGTTACTGATATAAAAAATAAATACACATTATATCGCAATTTATATAAATTACTTCTCAATAAATAATTACTTTAATAATTTCTGTATGTCACTGAAGTAATAGTGTTGGCAATCAATTATACCTACTATAGTAGGAGTATTATGATGATCAGAGCAGACTCAGACGATAGTTTTGAAATAAATTTAGAAAAAAAAACTGTTTTTTTTTAACCTTGCCGAAAGGAACATCGCGTGTCTTTTGGCCATTGGAACTATGATATATTCGAAACGAGAACCTCGTTGGAATTGTTCAGAGTAAGTATTTACTTTACACCTGTTGGATAATGGATAAACTTGTTACGTACACAATGGAAATAATATTTATGAAAAAGGACGGCAACGTATTTATTTATCTGATATTATTTAGTATTATTCGAATATACTCAAAATTTATAGTCTTTCATGTTACGACACAATAAAAATGTGCACTTTACATTAAACTTTTAAAATATAAAAAAATTGTATGTCCCTATAATTTTAAAAGAGTTGTTCTATATTTCACTCTAGGACTCACCCACTGAGGGTTCCATATAAATTTAACTATGGATTTAGATAGTTGATTTATTCCAGGAATTATAGGTAAGGTGAGCACAGATCATTACTTTAACTAAATAAGTCGGATCATCATCACCATCATAACAGCCCGTCACCTCCCTGTACCCATCAATTTCCTGCATCTCTTACCAGGTGATTACTCCATCTAGTGGGGGGCCCGTTAGTCGAATATAAAACATAAGAAAGACGCAAACCTAACTGCAGTAGAAAATATGTTCACAAATTTAAAAATTAAAAAAAATTCAAATAACGAATTTTTCCTTTACTTGTGCTGCTAGACCTTGCTCGCCAAATTTCATGACTAGGTCACCGAGAAGTGCGATTACGACTCGATTTGTTAGCGCTACAAAGGTGCGTTGCTTCTCTTTGCATTTTCTATCGTATTTACTGAGAGTACCTACTTAGAGGAATAACAGGCACATCGCGATAAAATTCACGTTACCATACGCATAATCTCGATGGAAGCTTGATTTTCTACCACCGTTCGATTTACTAGAAATTTTCTTCCCCGAATAGCTTTTCCGTGTAAAATAGTGATGTGAACTCTTTGGACTTTTCTCTTTTTTTATGACGTAGGACATTAAAAATTCGTTTATCTAACGTCATGCGTCTACTAGTGTATTCTAAGTCTGGTGAAAAAACGGCGTATGAAAGATATCCGCAAATATCCTTTGTTATGTCATTATTTATTAATCTTAATTATAATTTAAGAGAAATAGACCCACCCATAATCACAATTACACAAGACAAAAAAGATGTTGTAAACCCGTGCAGACCAGTCCCCATAAACAGCATCTGTTCACAAGTATGACGTATGTCAAAGCCCCAACCTTCTTGACCATTTAGGAAAAAAAATTGTAAATATGTATGTTTGCACATAATGATAACACGCAAAAATTAATAAGTAAATTAAGATCAGATTAAGGTCAGAATAATCATTCAAAGTTTTAGTAAGCCTTAGAGTACGAACTTTTTTATAAATAATTCATATTTTATTTTTTAGAAAAGCTTTTGTTAGTAGTATTGTTATTATATTATGTGTATACCTAATACATCGACCGAAAATATATTTACTTCTCACAGTCTAAAGCTATCTGATAATATGTTACTAATTTTCAATTGATGACGATTTTTGACATTTATGAGTTCTAAGATATTTTAAAGAAAACCGTTAGGTACGATCCATAGACTTGGAATATACTGACGTATACTATAATATACGCATAATATACGTATAATAAGCGCTAGTATATCAGTCCTGGATTTATAAATAGGGCGTATAGGCCGCGGCCTTGGGGCGGCAGATTTCAGAGGAGGATCACTCGATTTCAGAGGATGTAAGTCAAACACGTTCACTGGTTTTCTCATGGTTTTTTATACTTAAAAAAAATCCCTATAGAAACTCTTCCTATCGAAACCTATATTATCGCGTGAGTGATGATGAGAGCAGCGAGGCGGGCGGACGGTAGTGGAAACTTAACAACTCCCGCTTTCCGCCCGCGCTCTCCGAGCCGTCTGCGCCCGACGCCCAACTCCCGTGCCGTCTGCGCCCGACGCCCAACTCCCGCGCCAGTGTTCAGCATCGATTGCATACACACTTTCTTTTTTTATATTTTATTTATTAGGAATCTCAACAGCATTTTTTTACAAACATACTTAAAAAAAATATATAGTACACTTAGCCAATAACAGAGTCTCACAACAGGCTGAATAACACTTATTTGTAACTTAGTATAATTTAAATAATATTTTATTGCATTGCAGTATAGGTTTTAGATTAGCAGCTTTTTACAAATAAAATTAATATAATAATGAAATTAAAATAATACTTACTGAATAAAATAAAATAATGTTATATACATCCCTATAGAATATATATATATATATATATATATATATATATATATATATATATATATATATATAATGTGCATCGTAATTAACGCACACCCTCAGACACCCCAATTAGTATAATATTATGTTATAATTATAATACATACACTGAATTTTTAGTTAAACATTTTTATGCACTGATTATTTATCAAATTAGTTATACTAATTCAGGACGAATATTGTGGTCACAGTACAAATCCACGAACGCAAAGACTTTAACGTGCTTGAAATTTAATTTAAAAGTTAATTTTTTTTATTATATAAAGTTCTTTGTATTGAATGACAGAATACAATTATAAAACTGCACTCTTAAAAGTCTTATTGCCTTAAGTTACGGTCCATTTCAGTTTGTTTTGACTGTACAAATTTAGTGTGACTGTAATTTACGTAGTTTTAATTATTTTTATGATAAAAAATTACCTATATTAAAAATGATAGCAATCTATTCAGTAAAAGTGCGTATGTTTTTGATGCATGTACCTTAAAAGTTTATTATAACTATATTAACAACATGCTTTTCAGATTGACACTACAGAATTTAGATAAAATAGTAAACAAACTCTCGTAGTTTTGTCTTTGAATACCTACTTTACTTACCTAAACAAAATAAGTAACGACTACTGAATAAAAAATCACAGTGGTTCTCAATATACTTTGTTGTTAAGCTTTAGTTTTTATTGACATAGGTAAATGCTACACAGTAGTGTGCTATAATATATTTTGTCATTGACACTCATTAAATAAAAATGAAAATTGTCCCTCATTAAAATGAAAGATAGTTTCACATTGGTGGTTTATTTATGTATTTCTACATTTTTAAATTATTTTGAGTCCGCGTTTCTTTTAAGCTTTACAGCTCCCGTGATTGCGGTTAACTCCCCGCAAATGTAGAATCCAAAAATGTAGAAATACTTATTATGTATTTCCGTACACTTTATGTAAACCGCAATTTAAACCATTAAAGTATCTTTCACTTTAATGACTTTGGCCAGCCAAACCAAAATATATAAGTAGCTCAGAAAATTTAAGAGTCTGACTGACTTGGAAGTTCTAGGCGCTGGAACTGAAATAGTTCGGCAAGATTTTAGGTGTGGGTATACTTTTTCTCGTAAAATAAGTACTATATTTTCTTATAACTTATAAATTATATTAGAAGTTTCACATATTAATGACATTGTATGATAGAGATTTTTCACATATTGCAATTAAACCCCAACCAACTTATTATAAATGTAAATCTGAATTTGTTTGCTTGTTTATTACATTTTCACGACTAAACCGTTGAAACGATCGTGATAACATTTATATAGACTATTGTGTTCTTTTTACAGATTGATAACTATCTATATTACATAGCGTTCTCAAACTGTCGAAAAATGAGTGTTGGAAGGAAGAGACTTAGTGGCGCTGAGTACAGGAAAAAGGCCAATATAAAAAAAAGATGAACAAGAGCATGCAGTTCAGAAGACCAGGAAAATAGAAGCTTTTTTTAAAGTGAAAACAGCTGCGAGAGTTTACGTATTGCACAAGAGAACTCGAGGATTAGTATTAATAAGGAAAATCATTGTGAACAAGGTTCTATTCCGATTGCGGTGGAGAGTCTGTACCATCTTAATCAGTCAGATCAGTCGTGTTCAGTAAAATCTGCTTATTCTCCTGATTCTGACACCGATAAACCTTCAACAAGTGGCAGTAACATAAAGCCAGACAGCGAAGAAATGGCTATTATTGCGACATTAATTGAAATTGAATTAACCATAAAAATAAATACAGATCCAGCGTGATGGGAAATAAACGATTTAACGAGAGATATTATTGCAAGAAATAGTTTCGAACAAAACGAATCCTGTTATTTCACAAAATATGCGAGAATGTATTCCGGTCATTGCCGTTACCAAAAAATATATTTTACAGAAAAATGAAGAATAATGAAGTTAAAGAAAGGAATTGGCTCGTCTATTCGGAAAGCAAAGGTTTTGTATTCTGTGGACACTGTTTGGCCTTTGGATCTTGCGAACAGGGCACAGTTTGACGAAGAAGGATTCAATGATTGGAGGAATGCAGAAGTTCGAGTAGCTCAACACGAAAAGTCTCTAAATCATAAATCCTGCATTCTCGCTTTAAGAGCTAGGGGTATGATTCACGGCAATATTCATTCTTCATTAACTGCCCAACTTAACGTAAAAATTTCTTACTGGAAGAACATTTTAAGGAGGGTTTTTGCTGTAATAAAAGGATTAGCTTCTTGAGGTCTCGCTTTCAGAGGAAGTAATGACAAATTTGGACAATGGAACTTACATTATGCTTCTGGAATTAATAGCAGAGTTTGACCCATTACTAACCGAACATATTGAAAGGTTTGCAAACCAGGGATCAGGAACAACTAGCTACCTTTCGAAAACTGTCCGCGACGAATTCATTTATTTAATGGCTGAAAAAGTACTGATATACATCAGTGATGAGATAAAAAAAGCAAAGTACTTATCTTTGATTGTGGATTCTACACTGGATGCAGCACATATAGATCAGCTAACACTTGTGATTCAATATGTCTTAGATAACGGAGAAACATGTGAGATATTTATTAAATTCTTGCCTTCTTTAGGACACAAAACTCAAGTAATATTTGATACCATTACTATAGAGCTAGAAAAGTTAAACATTAATCTCAAAGATTGTCGTAGTCAGTCTTATGATAATACCTCTAACATGTCAGGGATTCACAATAGTTTACAAGCCAAAATTCAAGAACAAGCATAATTTACTATGTTTGTTCCTTGTGCAGCTCATTCATTGAATTTGGTAGGAACCTCGGCCGCTAATTCTTGTACAGAATCCTGCCACTTTTTTATGTTGCTAGAGGAGGTATATAAATACTTTCTTCGTGAAGTCAACTGAACGTTGCAAAAAATTAACGAATGAGATAGGAAGATGAAAAACAATTGATAGAATCAGACGTTACTTTGCGGAAATTCATTATAATAAAGATATTAATAGTTACTTTGCAACAATTCGCTTAATTAAATAAAATGATGTGGCTTCCCTAGTTTGAAGATCACCTCCCGCCCTCCCTCAATTGCATGCACCAATCCCGTCACCACTATTCCCAGCACTACTACTCCTATATCGATAGATATATTATATAAGATAGTAGATTTTACAATAGCAGAACGAGAAAACTTTGACTATTTCGAAGAAAAAGAATTGAGATGGGCGCACTTAAGCAATATAAAGTTGAATGAAATAAAGAGGCAACCAAAAGAAAAAAATGAATGAAGCAACGAATGAAGAACCTGAAATACCTTCCTGTAGTCATTTTTGTCAAAAATTTTCATTTTCGACAAAAATGACTGCACTTTCAACACAAAGAGTTACAGAAAAAGCAGTCTCTCGTGAAGTATTATAGCAATGATTTAGAGGACGATTTGATTCAATAATGTGTGCATTTTCACAATCACGCATCATTTGCACTGATAAAACTGCAGTGTGCAGTGAATTCTGGGTCAAATTCACTACTCAGTCTCTCAACGTTTTTGAGGAATCGATCTCTGTCTAATGTTTTCCCTAACTTGATTGAAGATAGCTCTTCGCATTGCACTTTCCACTCCGGCTACAAATTGTTCTGGGGAAAGGAGTTTTTCCCCTTTAAAACGCGGGAAAAATTATCAAAGGTCTTCATTGTCCCAAGAAAAAATGAATGCTCTAGCTCTACTCTACATAGAAACGGGGATAATGAACACCATAAACTATAATGATATTATAGATGATTTTGCTATTAAAAAGTCCCGTAAAAATTGTATATCGTGTTTCTTTTTTATGCTGCTTTCTTAATGACTAATTCATTCGTTTATTTAACTTTACAGCCTTCTTTACAACAAATGGAAAATTATTATTTTATAAAGGTATGTATATATATATAAATATATATATATATATATATATATATATATATATATATATATATATATATATATATATATATATATATATATGGGGCGGTGGAAATAAAGTGGCCTACACTCATAAAAAATATAAATCCGACACAGCAGTATATTCCAAGTCTATGGTACGATCTAATGTTACGGAAATTAGTGATACTCAATGTCTGTCGGATTTATTTTTAAATACAGGCACATAATGTTGCTGGTATATAAAATAATATAATTATAATAATATGGTATATATAGTATACGGTAAGTATAATAATGTGGTAATTATAATAATAGATATGTATATTACATAAATCCTGCAAATTCGTGCTAAAACGTACCTATTGAGTATATTGTAATGTAGGAGTGTGTTAAATGAGTCGGAGACGTGTTTCTCTGTCTATGACTTTAATTATACTGCTTATTAATCTAACTTAACACTAAAATATATATTGACGTGCGGGCTACACTACACTACAATACTATACTCTTTGCTAAAGTGTTATTGGTATTTTACAAATAACGAGTGGCGGCAAGAGAGATAGAAGAGAATACATCACACTTTTACATACCATGTTGTCGTAAAAAGCGACTATGATGAATACCAGAAAGATCGTATGGCTTCCAATAGGGGTGCAACAATCTCGTTTACGCTAGATGTAAAATGCCCAGGCCAATGACAGAGAGCAGTGTCAGTTTCGAGATACTTGGTACCGCTGTCTATCGTCCAACGCTTGACTCCCTCAAACGGGATAGGCAAATGTCCTACAGCGGACATTTAAAAGATAATGAGAAATATTAAAAATATTACGTGGTCACTCGTGTAAGAGATGTAGGCAATCGATGAATGAAGGTCTTCAGTAAAGAAACCTTAAATCTTAGAATAAATTACGCATTAAATCTTTCCACTTTCCCCATTGTTTCTGACCTCAGCGCTATAGTATATAAAATAGAAATCGCACAATCTGCCCACTGTGATCTGATGTAACTTTGGAGATGTAATTAATCTACTTTATATACCTACGAACTCTAAGGATGTACATGACTGCCTCGTTGGTCTAGTGGTTGTAGTAGTGCGACTGCTGACCATGAGGTCCTGGGTTCGAATCACGGGTCCTGCCAAAAAATATCAGTTATTGCGTTTTTCTATTAAGAAATTCTCAATAGCTGCCCAGAGTCAAGAAGTCGGTGGTGTCACACCCCACAAAAGAAGAGCACGTAGAGCCGTTGGACTTGCGCCTGATCTTTTTCGCTTGTGCCGGTTTACCGTCCCATCGAACTATGACGGTAAGGGAATAGAGAGTGCACCTGTACCTACGCATACACTTGGGCACTATAATCCTATCCTGCGCCGATGTCTAGTCTCCGTTGATGCTGGCCGCCGTGACCGAATTTCGGTCTGGAGTACATTATTATTAAGGATGTAATTCTGAATGCAGTTTACCACTTTACATTTTATTATCTATGCTGGTGGCAGTTGTCTCTGTAATGGTTATAATGCTTAGAGTAATTACTGGTGTAATGTCATGATCCAAGAATGTAATGGAATGATCTGCCGCCATTCAGGAATGATGCGAAATATTTGACAGATTACATGGAGGATAGGAACCACAAGTTAGTTTTTTAGGAAAATGTAAGGATAAATCTCACAGAATAACAGCGTAAATTCGTAATCGAGGATAGATGTAGATGTCTATGGGCCACAGCATACACTTACCAACAGGTGGACTGTGTGCTCGTTTGTCACCCCATCCTATAAAAAAATGTTTCTTTCCAAAATGCTAATTTTATTTTACCTGTGTTAATTGGATCAGAAATATATAAACCAAACTCCGGATATTCCTAGAAGTAGAAATATTAAAAGAGGATGTTCTTACATTTTTATATGCATTAAATTAATGAACAACTGCTGACGCACTGTCTTGTATAATTACTGTTATATATATTTTAGAAACCGATAAAATACATTTTTAACGCAACTTCAAAATTTTGACAATATTGTGTAATAAATAACTTCAGTCCCATCTAGATATCAACATCTGGTGAGAGGAAAATTAAAAGGCCTTATTCTAGTAGTTTTTTATAGAATCTACTAGAATGAGGCATACTTTTTTTTTTTTTTTTTTTTTTTTTTTTATAGGATAGGGTGACAAACGAGCACACAGTCCACCTGATGGTAAGTGGTTGCTGCGGCCCCATAGACGTCTACATCTATCTTCCATTACAAATCAAAATGCAGATGCGTTGTCACCCGTGAGGACTGAGATGGAATGCCTCATTTCCAGTAAAAAGGGTCTCCGGTTCTCTACACTCACCATACGAAATACAGCAGCATTAACGCTACTCAAAATTTCACGCTGGTATTCTGTGAGAGCGTGGCCTTCCGTCCCCGGTCGAGCCGACCCATTCGTGCTACAACTATACTACTAATATAATTGCAGCATGGCTCTACCACGTATAAAATGATACTTAAGAGATTAAATGATTTAAATGTACTTATTACACTTGTTGCTTAGCCTTTAAAGGTTAAACTTAAACAAACCTACATTAAAATCTAGAATGAACAAGAAAAGAACTTTATCTTTTTAAAAAGGCCAGCAACGCCCTGTAATTTCCCTGATGTTGCAGACTTGATGACATGATATTGTATCATATCACCAGGTAAGCCGCATGCTCGTTTTCCCCCTCTTGTATAAAAAAACGATACCCACGGAATAAAATGAGATTTCTTCTTTCCTTGAGAGAGAGAATTTCACGCCGGCAGTCACACGGCATGTATACAAAATCATAGTATCATTGAAAAAGCATTTAAATTTTCCCTGCGTAGCGTAGTCTAAATAAATATAAACTTGGACGTGCACACTGGAAAAGTTCTATTCCGAATACACGAATAAGCTCTTATCACTTTTGTTTGTTAAAAGATTTTATTTAAAGTCGCTTTCAACAGACGCCATACCATTTCTAAAAGTAAAATAAAACTATATTTTCACAATTTTATTGCGGGATTTGTTTCAATATTAATTAATTATAGCTTAAAGAAGTCCAATTCTTTTCGAATTGTTATAAAGAAGACCGCTGCCCATCTTTTGGTTTTCCTCCGTCGCCAGTTACGACACCCGCAGGTCTAGAGCAATGTCGGGTAACCGTCTGCAGTTGGTAAGTATCCTCAATGAACTTTGTAGAAGTCTCGCTACCGTTATCTAGTCGAATTGTAATGTATTTACTTCTAACTCGAGAATCTAACAATCTGAATGCGTCAAGCGCTTGTCGGGCGATGCTGTGTAAAGTTACACGATCATTTTGTTTTTGTACCATTTGCTTATTTTTGTTAAAACATTTGGGTGCAGTATAGAAACACGGTGTGTCTAACTACGATCATACGGTGTTTATTGGTTGGGCAAAATAATATATATTTCGTTTAAATTTACGGATCTCGTCTTAGGTAACTTAATATTTACATTTTCTTAAGATATATATTTTTCAACGTGATGGGGAAAGTATACGCAGAAATCCGCATACTAAAACCTACACTTACCCCATCAAAGTAAACCGAATTATTTAAAAATTGTCTTGACTTCTAGATATAAAATGCCTCGCAAGTTAATGTCCCGATCGGAACATCTGTACTCAAGACCAGACTGATGCAGCCGAGAAGTAGATGGAAGAATGTAAATCTAAACATACGGCAGCCGCAATAGTTTGAATTGATGAAATCACTTTGAAGAAACATTTAAAACTTTAATTTACTGCATCATCGTTGGGAAGTACTAATTCCATTTGCTTCCAGTTAAATTGATTCAGCAGAAACACAAGAAACCGAAAGCCATCACCATCGCACAAAAAAAATCTGAAAATCAGAATGAAAAAGTGTTCTACTGTCCACTATGTCGAGAAAAGTACGACGATTCTCCTATAGGAGAAGTAAAGTGAAGTGAAGAAGTGTAGATTGAGTGCAATATTTGCAAGTTCTAGTAGCATGAAGATTGTACCAGTTCTGAAATTGGGTGAAAAAAACTTGAAAAATTTGCGTAGTAGGTTTAGTTTCCGCCGTGCGTACACTTAGCCGACGTTGCGTAACATTTAACCGAAAGCGTGCGGACACTTTCCCTTTGATTGCGGTAAATGTCCTTTACCTTGTTGATAAAAATATTAATTGTACATTCCAAATGTAAGAAGAGTTTAAATTTTATGTTTTGGTATTGTTTTGAAATGTATAATGAAAGTGAATCAATGCTGATGTGTTGCAAATTATGAAACAGTTTCATTCTGGAAGTAATTTACTCAAAACTGCGTACAGTCTATGTATCTGCGTATACCCCATATATCTCTTTACTCTATACGGGGTAATAGATATTCTTACACCATCACTGCACGATATCGAATCAAACCCTTTGTAATTTGAGAATATGATGTTGATGAAGTTCTGCTTAAGCGCCGGAACACTAGGGGACATTTTGTACCGCAACATGATGCGGAACACTCAATTTACGTGACGCTGCAACGTTGCACAGTGACACGCAATATGGCCTGCAACCATGACATGTTGCATATTCCCACTCCGAGAGCGAGCGCACATGTCCCGCGTCAATTTCGCGCCATTTTGTTAATGCAGTGGCAAGTCTGATATGAGGGCCAACAGCGTTCCGTAGTATTGTATCCCGTTTGGCTATGGAATGTCCTATCATTTGTAGGAAAGTTTCAGAATCAAATGTTAACATTCGAGTAAAATTCACAAAAGACCCATCAGATATTCGGAGATCACTTAAAGTATTAATACTTATTTCTTCTCATTGTACTAAGAAATTCCGCATCCACCACCTTCTCTCTCGCTTATGTTTCACTCCCGAAGTAAGTACTATGTACGCAGTACTAATTGCCACAACCTCTTCAGGCGACATTTCTTTATAGTGTCTCTATATTTTTTTATAGACATTGAATAGTGTGGCCTGCAAAATGTTCCGCGACATATGTCTCGGATAATTCGACGTAATTTTTGAGCGACATGTTGTGCAACACGCCGCACCTTTTGTCCCCAAGTATTCCAAGGCTTGATCACAGCCGCAACTTTCGAGTTAAATCAGTTCCATTACCCTTACTGCCTACCAAAAGTCCAATGCTGGACATAGGCCTCCCCTGCTGAAAATAGGACGGATTTTATCTTAGTTTTTATAATTTCCAGTTGTTATCAAGAAGATGCTGTCCATCTCCTGTTTCAGTCTCCTTTTGTCGCTCTTACCAGAAGGAAACTGTGTACTGAATATTATTACGCCGTTACAACACAACATCAAAGCCTAAGCCTAATATTTTCCCGAATTATCTGATACATCCTTAAAGCGAACATTTCAAGACTGCACGCACCTTAATCTAAGATAGACGTGGGTTGCAGGTGTTTATAAACCACACCATCCACTCACTTATTATACCTTCACGTCACGTTTACGCATTATTTAATCTGTGACATTTATAATATTATTTAATCTGTGCCTTTACTTTAAAAAATCCCAAATATTATCGAAATGATTAAACTGAATAGGAGGGGCATAATATTACAGTGTCACAAACCAGTTTTCCATGTAGCACATGCGATAAATAGAGGTAGTACCCGCGTTTTAATAAGGGTTAAAAAAAGGGGTTTTCAGTTCATACGATCACTATAAATATAATATCGAAATAAACTCAAATCAGTATTCGAATCAAACATTTTAATAACATTGCTTAGGTCTGAGATTCTAAATTCGAACCCATTACATAATATGATTACTACGTCACGTGGTACGTACAAAATATATTTTTTTGGTTACCACATGACGAAAGAAGGAACAGTTAAAGCAGGAAAATAAAACAATGGAGCGACTAAACCAAACTATGTATAAATTATTCGGCCTTAGAAAATGCATGAACTTGACATTTTACTTTCGTTCCGTCGACAGCGACGAGCAACAGGTCTAACGTTTGACGCATGGAGTACCTATATGTCTGATGTCTAATCATAGATTAATATAATATTGCTAGCTAGCCAGTCACAAGTTGTTCTTCACTTTCAGAAGACCCTTTGTCCTATAAAAAATCCTTTAAAATTCGAATAAAAATATTGAGGGTCACTTATCGGGATCTAAATTATTCTGTTTCTCAAGTTGGAGCAAGCAATACACATTTGCAAAATTTTATTAAAATGGATAGAGCGGTTTCGAAGATTAGCGTGAACGAACATCGGGACACGAAATTTTTATATGTTAAGATGTATACACTGATTTATAATACTACATTATTTATAGTACTTCGTTATTATAATACTAGAAAAGTCTGTAGCTAATCCATATACAAACATAATATTGTCACAATAAAATTTTCAATGATATTGACAATAAAGTCAAGATTCGAAATTGCCCCATTTTTTAAAAAGAATTTATTTAAAACTTAAGACTAATAATGTGCGATACCTTAATTAACTTAAAACTACATGTCCGAAACATGTGGGAGCCTAACTAGGACTATTCTAACTTACTCTAGAACATTAAGCTCAAGAACAGCTATCAATCTGCTTACGCGTCTTCTAGACGCAATTCAGCAATCTACGCCCACGCTTACGCTTGAATAGTGATGGTCTCTGGTGAAGTACAAATTCCGGGATCCATAACTATAAATAGATCCATACATTAATTACCTATATAACAATAATTTCGCTCTAGCTTCACACGCAGTCCTGTTTCTACGCAAAAATCGAAAACAAACAACTTATTAATAATAATTAAAAATCGACTTCAAATCTCAAAAATATTTTTTCTGTGAACTTTTTAATTTATATTTAGGGGCGTCACGTCTATTACTTTATTAGGTCGTGGTACAAGTTCTGGAACTGGAATTCATAATGTACTTGCACATAAGCAATTCCAATAAATTTTGTAGCGCGTCATGGCAGTATTAGTGCCTTTCACACGTCCCGGTTCACACTGAATCGAAAATCGCGTTACGAAGACTTAGAGTTTTTAAGTTTTAAGTGTCGTTTTTTGAGCTTGAAATTGCCTCTGTTTAGTATTACTATGGTCAAAAATGTCACATAAAATAATCTGGCTTAAAAACTGAGGACTAATGATTTTTTTACGAAAATAATGACATGAAAATAATGTATGTACATAACAATAATGTATGGAGGAGATACGAAAAATCAGTATAACCCTGGAATCGTAGAATTGCCCCTTTTATCCTTACAGAGGGTTATACTCGCAGTAGTAATTATTTATGATTTTTTGACATACTTAATATTACGGGAAATACTGCTCTTATTTTTTTTAAATCGTCAGAAATTTTTTTTCTTATTCTTCAAACTTGTTTGAATGCAGAAAGTTAACTGATACGGTTTTTTAGCTTAAAATAAGTCAGAAGAAAGGTTTATTACAACATCAAACCACCCTCCATCCGATGGTACAAAAAATATGTTTGATTCTACTGAGGTCTTCTAAAAACTGAACAAAAACCAATAATAAAATCATTAGTGTTTGTTCGTACTACTAAAGAGTCGTAATCAGACCTTTTTAGAACTCATTAAGTTCAGTTTTGTGAAGAAAACGAAGCATTGGTGATCGATCAAGAAAGAAAAATCAATGAAAAATTGCAGCCCTAACCAATTGCAAAATTTTATTTTATTTCGATTAATTTATTTAATATACTGACATTACTGCCTACTTAAAATGGCTGTTGAATTTATTATTTTAAAGTTGTAATTGTGATGACATTTTTTGTTGGTTGACATTTATTTATTTATTTCTAAAATTGTATAGATTGCTTAATTTTTAATTCATTGATTTTACTGGTTATGGGTGTAAATTGCCTGAATAAAGATGATTATTATTATTATTATACGTGGGGTATCTATATAGTTTTCTCATCTGGTTGGGATGTATAAATATATAATTATAAACGAAAATGAAAAGATAAATATACATAAATATCAATAACATAAAATAAAAAAAAGTACATAAATAAATAAAAGCCCAACCAGATGGAGGCCCTCGGCAGGGGAGACCAAACGGCCGAGGGTTAGGGGGGAAAGGGAAAGAAACCGGCGGACGATGCGGGCGGTATCGAGGAGCACCGCCTTCTGCATTTGAACCTGGAGCGGTCCGCCACGTAGTCCCAGCCGCCTCAGATGACCCGTAGAGGCTGACTGGGATTAGCCCGTTTGCAGAGACGACTACAGGAATAATTTCGGTCGGCAGACCACCCCACATGTCGGTTACCTCGTGAGCCAGGTCCAGATATTTTGTTTGCTTGTCTGTTTCGGCTTTCACGAGGTTCTCGTCATACGGAATGGTAATGTCGACCAAAAATATCCTTGACTGTGCCCGGTCCATCAGCACAATATCAGGCTTATTCGCAAGAATAGTCCTGTCTGTGATGATGGCCCGGTCCCAATAGAGCCTGGCGCGATCATTTTCGAGCACGGCTTCCGGCAAGTACTTGTAATACGGCAATTTCCGATCCACGAGACCGTATTTCAGAGCGAGCTCCTGGTGTAGAATTCTGGCTACTAGGTTGTGCCTGTGCAAGTACTCAGAGTTAGAAAGCGCCGAACAACCGGAGATAACATGCCTAAGTGACTCACCGGGATGGCGACAAGCTCGACAGATGTCGACGGTGCCATCCTTTAGGATGTATCTCCGATAGTTGTTGGTCTTAATAACCTGATCCTGTATTGCACAGACAAAACCCTCGGTTTCCCCGAAGAGATCACCAAAGCGTAGCCAGTGGAGGGAGGCTACTGTGTCTACGAAAGGCTCATGTAGAGCCTTGTAGAACCTCCCGTGGAGCTCCTTCTCCTTCCATACGGTCTCCCGGTCGGAAATGCTCTGCACTGCCGGGTCTTGCCATTGCTCGTTGGCTAAGGATAGAGGGGTAAGTCCTTTATCTACAAGAAATGACGTCCTTATAGAATGGATCATCAGATCTCGCCAGGAAGTAATCACGGAGGCTGCACACTTCGCGATTATGCATGGTGAGCGCGCTCAAGAAGCCACGACCACCATGCTTCCGCGGCAAGTACAGCCTCATTACCGACGATCTCGGATGATGCATCCTATGGGACGTCATTGTAGTGCGGACTTTTCTATCCAGGGCGTTAAGTTCAGTCTGAGTCCACCTGAGTATGCCAAAGGTATACATGAGGACAGGCATGACCCAGCCGTTATATGCGTGTGCCTTATTCACACCGGACAAAAGGCTGTTAAGCACTTTGGTCAAGCGTGCATAAAACACGTCGCAAACTGACTGTTTCATACCAGTCTCATCGATACCGATGTTTTGTGACATACCCAGGTATCGGTATGTTTCAGCCTCGGAAAGGGTCCTTAAGTTGACGGGCATAGATAAGTCTACGCCCTCAGAGTTAGCAACCCTTCCCCTTTCAACATGGAGGACCGCACACTTATCCGTCCCCAGCTCCATTCCAATGGAATTGCTAAATTCACAAGTGATGTTTAGCAATTCCATAAGATGGGAGCGACTGGAGGCGAATAACTTGAGGTCATCCATATAGAAAAAGGTGGGTCACTTTTTTGTCCCTCCTTTCCGTAGCTGAAATCCCCTCCCGGAGCCCTCCAGTAAGGTACTGAGAGGGTTCAGAGAGAGGCAGAACCAGATTGGACTCAGACAATCGCCCTGGAAGATACCCCTTCTTATCCTTATGTGGTTCTCCGCAGCCATCATCCGCTCGCCTAGATGACAAAGGATCGTACTCCACTGCCCCATACACTGCTCGAGGAAGTCTCTAACTGTACAGTCTATCTTGTACAGCTCGAGGACTCTCTTTAGCCATGTATGGGGCACCGAGTCGAATGCCTTTCTGTAGTCTATCCAGGCGGCGGAGAAGTTCCGACGGTTGCGTTTCACCACTTTGCCAATGACCGCGTCAATGAGGAGTGGTTCCTTGGTTCCACGACCACCGCCCCGACATCCATTTTGAGCGCGCGACATCACTTGATTTGAGTCCAGGTGACAAGTGATTCTCGCGCTCAAAATGGATGTTAGTGTCTTGTATATGGTCGGTAGACACGTGATGGGGCGGTATTTGCTCGGGTCTGTGGTACCCTGGTCTTTAGGAACTAAATGAGTGATCCCAGTAGTGAAGAGGCTTGGGAGCGACTTCTGGTTGAGAGCCTCTTGAAACTGTCGGGCGAGCACAGAGTGACACACCATGAACCCCTTCAGCCAGTAGTGATGCAGCCCGTCAAGCCCCGGACTTTTCCAGTTCGGGGCCCTACGAACCGCCTCAGCTACGTCATCCGGCGTTATGATGACGGGGTCCATGGGCGTAATACCCGCACACTGACTCGCCACAACTTCCGTCCAAGGGCCCTCGCTGTGGTTTACGGGCTCTGACCACAGGCCGCGCCAGAATGCTACAGTGTCGGCCTGATTCGGTGCTGGACCCGTTCCACTTACCATTGGTCGCTCCAATGATTCATAGAGCCTCTTCTGATCACTCTGGAAGAGACGATTCTGGTTGAACCGTGTCGACCTCTCGGTATATCGCCGAATCCGCTTTCCCCAAGCAGCGATTCTCTGCTTCAGATCATCTATGCGCTCCGTCAGTTTTTGCGTTATATCCGGCTGGGACAAACTGACATTTGTCCCAGCAAACGCCATCCTGACGGTGCGCACAATTCTTGGCCTGTTGTTGCCTGATCTGAAGCATATTAGTCTGCCGATGAGAGCTCTAGCCTTTGCGATACGTTCCTCAATTCTTCTTCTCCATGCTGGGATAGCGCTACTATGGCCAGTAGCGCGTCCAGCCGTGGAAACCTTGGCGCCTATGATACGGCAGACTGCCAGCGCGGCGCCAAAAAGAATTGAGTCCGTCTCGCAAAGGTCCCGGCTGGCTTCCAAATAGGTAACCAGCATTGGGTTCAGAGCCCTCACGACAGCCCGATTCCGCTTGCTTAGGGCTATGCGGGGAAGTCGCGGTCGATTTTCGAGAGGCGTACTGCGCGTTTCCACAATCGCCTCTTCCAATATACTCCTCATATGCTCTAATTCCAGTTCCTGGGCGACTGTTCCATCATCGTTTGAATCAACCACAACTGGGGTATTCACGGCGGCATCCACGTTTGCGGGTTGCTCTACCATTTGTGGCGCCGCATCCTCAGCCGTAGCATTCTCATCCGACGAGGGAACAGCCTCACGTCGTAGCCGTTCGAGTTCGGCGACATCAAATATATTTGAGCGCAAGATATACCGAACTCGGTCTGCCAGGTTTTGCTCTGTGACGATTAAAGATGGCTCCAGCTCAGCAAAAAGACGATGCATCCTAGCCCGATACGCCAAACATCCAGTTTCTTCCCCTTTTGCCCTAAAGTACGCCCGCAGTGCGTTTGCATTCATTTCTTGTGACCAACGCATGCGACGTGCTCCACCAGCGGCGGGTGCCGCTTGCTGAGTCCGAGAAGACCCAGCCGACACCAAGCCTTCTGGTGGGGATGATGGATGCGGAGGGCTGGTAGATGACCGTGCAGCTCCTCGCGCTCGGCTGGCGGCCCGCATGCTGCCGCGTCCAGCGCCAGCTCCAGACGCGCCCCGGCGACCCCCAGGCAGCGGCCCTTTGCGCACTATCTTTTTATCCATCATCCTTATATATATATATTATATTATTATATATATTATATTATTATTATTATTATCATCTTTATTTATTAGACATATTATATTATTTTTATAATATTAGACCAACAAAGTCGATCATAAACTGTGATTTATGGTAAGATTTGTTCTTATCTCTCAGAAGCAAAATTAAGCGTTAAATCTGTTTAACCAAACCACCAGAATAAATAATTTAGATTTGGTATCATCCAAGAGAGCATCTACAGGTGTATATGAATTATCAGACAGATTGTCAGACACATTTCTTACAGACTCGATTTTAAAAAGTGGGCTGCAAGCATTGACTTATATATTACTAGCGTAAGGACCGGGTCGACCGAACAACTAAAACGTACCAGAGCGCTGGTCCTAAAATTATTTATTATAATGGATTTCCACAAAGTAACGCCTGATTCTATCAATTATCCTAAAATTACAGTTTAGAGCCATTATTATTATCAAGGATCTCCTAGGTGTGCGTTGTTTGCAGTTAGCAGGGGCTGTAAATGACCGCCGGTACGACATACTCCGCCGAACGTTGAGTCCCGTGATTCCGTGAGGCGTCGAGGTCACCGGCCCCTAGGTGATTCTTGGGCACTTTATGCGCTCCGAGCATCCTGTGCCTAGTCGCGACATAAAGTGCCACCGTTGCACTTCCCCCAACCCTTTTGGTGTACAAAAGGGGTAGGCAGTGCCCCTAGTGTTGAAAGCCATAGACTTTTATTACCATAGTTTAGATAGGGCATTTTAGAGTACGACTGACGTTGTTAGGGCAGTAACATGTCAGGTAGGGATAAGGGGGAGCCACCTCCTTCAATAAGAAAACCACCAGACAAAAGAAAAGGTGTGTTGGATCGACCACTGGTTGTGAGGGATCTGTCGAACCCGGAACGCACGAGGGTTGTGTCCTCCTTTTCACAGATCCCCCAACGCAAACCCGTCTCGCCACGGAAAGAGCCCGCACCGGGCGGCGCGCTCACGCCGGCCGTATCTGAGCATACGGTCAGGCAAGAACCATCGCCCCAACAGCAGCGGGCAGTGAAAACATCTAGACGCCACACGCCACCGGAGACCGAAGCCTCCTTATTTGAAAAGAGGCAAAGGATAGGCTCCCAACTGTCCTCCGATGAAGCACCGTCCACATCGGAGGAAGATGACGAATTCCACCATCAGGTGACGCCGAAGAAGGTGTTAAGATCTCCACCCAAATCACCATCTCCACCGCAACTCCCCTCCCACTCCATATCCCCGGATCGACGAAGCCGAGACTCGGCCCAGTATGAGCAGGGGGGTGAAGAATCCTACAGTTGGGGGTCCACTACATATACCACCCTCGCTGCATCCGCCGGCCGGTCCTCGCCGGCGGCAACGACCAATCCGTCCGGGCTTCCACAGGAGGATGGCCAACGGCCATCTACCAGTTATGCCCATATGGTAGCTGCACCAGCAGTACCACGACCACCTCCGGCGGCAGTGCCAACCGAGAAGCCTGCCGACCAAGATAAGACCCGATATCCGCCCATAGTGGCTGAATGCCTACCGGATTGGACGAGGCATTTTAAGGAGCTCAACAGAATGTTGGGCCACCCCTTGAATGCCCGTCCATTCGGGAAAGGCGTGAGGTTCACTCCGCAAAGCGCGAATGAATTCAGGACAGTCCAACGTTATATGATCGAACTGACTAAGGAAGTACCAACATTGTCGTGGTATTGCTATACCCCGAAGGAGGACAAGCCCACTAAAGTGGGCATCCGGGGTCTACCAATGGGCACGGACACCAAGGACATAGAGGAGGCAATTAGGGCAAAAGGTTTCCCAGTCAAATATGTCAAGGCAATCCCACCGCGTAGAAGCAGACCTGGCTGCATCTACTTTGCCCAGTTTGACCACCTGAGCCTGGAGCAGCTCCAAGAACTGTACAAGATCGACGAACTCCTCTTTATGAGAGGAGTAGTCATCGAGGCCTGGCAAAGGAAAGCAGGACCGGCTCAATGCCACCGCTGCCAGGCCTTCGGACATGCATCCGCAAACTGCTTCAGGCCAGTGAGATGCGTGCGCTGTGCCGGGGAGCACATAGCAAGCCTTTGCCCACGGGGTAGAGAGGAACAACCCACATGTGCCAATTGTGGAAAAAACCACACGGCAAATGACCGCCGCTGTCCAGTCCTGAGGAGGACTGCAAGGAGGCAGGGGATAACTTTGCTGGGGCTACTCCCGGAAGCCCCTAAAAAGCCCCCTCAGAGTCGCCCAAAAGCTGTAACCATCCAGCAAGACGGGTGGGCCACCATCACGGGGAAGGGCAGACAACCAGCCCCCCCACCTCCCGTAACATCGAAAGAAACGGTGGAACCCGCAGAGATAAGGGCAACCACCGGGGCGACTCTACAGCCCCCCCGCCAATCCTGCCACAGAACGGCGACCCCCGAAGAAGAGGAGGCGGGAGAGGAGCCGGAAGAAGTCGCAGCCTCCTCAGGCTGTTACCTCTACCCCGACACCAACTGCACCAGTAGCCTCACAGGCGCAGGTTACCAGGGAGAGAACCATGAGTATGGGTAGAGGGCCGGAAACGGCTGAGCGCAGAGCCCGCTCTACTGGAAGAGCGCGCCCTACCCAAACACACAGTGAGCAAATCCAGGACACCCAACGCCCGAGACAATTGCCAACGCCTTCGTATAGGAGAACACCTACTGCCGGCCTCGAAACAGCAGAAGCAATCCAGCGTCTGGTTGGCATTGCCATCGAGGTCGGCATGCAAGTACTGACAGATATCAGGACCGGGACAGACCCAATCACAGCCATCATGAAGGCGCTGGCAAACTTCCTAGCCCGGCACTACGGAGGAGAGTAACCTGCGCCTCCTATACTGGAACCCGGACGGTATACAGCAGAAGCTGCATGAACTCCGCACAGTTGCCCAGCAACAGGATCTGCACGTCATCTTGCTGGGAGAGACGAAGCTCAATCCAAGGACGCACATAAAGCTGCCCAATTACCACCTGTACAGAAGGGACGAGGTCACTACTCAAGGGGCTGCCTATAGAGGGACGGCAGTTCTGGTGAGGAGGGACATCGTCCATCAGGAACTGGAATTACCGCCATACCAGTCAATGCGTTCTATCGGCATAAAAATGGAGGCGGCGGGCGAGGAACTTAGGATCTACGCAGCATACCGCCCGCCAGGGACTCCATTTTGCCCCTCAGACATCCGGACAATAATGGAAGGTGACACGCCCACTATTGTCGCCGGGGACCTAAACGCCAAACACCCGGCGTGGGGGTCCAGAGTGATCACCCCGCCGGGTCGTGAACTTTATAAAGATGCAGAAGACAACAACTACGACGTCTTAGGTCCCGAGGAGCCAACACACATCCCGTCCAACCCACGGAGCTATCCGGATGTATTGGACATCGTGCTCTCCAGGAACATCAACTACCCAGTAGTGGTAGAGGTGCTATACGACCTGAGCTCCCAGCACCTCCCGATTCTGATAACCCTTGGCACAAAGGCAGTGACTACGCCGCCCAGAGCAACCAAGACACGTGTCGACTGGAGGCGCTATGCACAACACCTGCAGGCGAGACCTCCAGCACACATGCCTATAAGCACAGCGAACGACGTAGAGGCCGCTGTTACTAGAATTACTAAAAACATCCAAGAGGCCCTCAACGCGGCCTCTACGATCGTCCCGATAACAGCAAGGCGTGACGATCTGCCGCGTGAGATAAGCGTGCAGATCAAGCGCAAAAGAGCGCTGAGAAAGCTCTGGGCGCGTACTCACTGTCCGAGATTAAAAACACAATTAAACACCGTATCGGAGGAGCTGTCGGTGGCAGTTCAGGCCTACAGAGGGGAGGCCTGGGAGCGGCGCATATGGAAGGCGGATGAGCATGATGCGTCGCTCTATAAACTGAACCGACAGCTGACCAAAACTAGACCTCCCGTTTGCCCACTGACCAACAGCGTGGGCGAACGTTGCTATGATGCCAAGGGCAGAGCGGATATCCTGGGAGAGCACTTCGAGGGGCAATTTATGCCGAACCCAGCGAGTGCGGAGTTCATGGAGCTTCATGCCCGGAAGGAGAGTCGCGTACAGGAGTTCCTGTCGTCGCCCGCGCCACCTCTTGCAGGAGAGTGGTTCATCTCCCCCCGCTGAACTGCGGAGGACAGTAACCCGCCTGCAACCGAGGAAGGCGCCTGGGCACGATAGGATTACCAACGCTGCACTCCGACAGCTGCCCAACAGAGTCCTAGTAGAGATTGGTCGACTCTACAATGGGATATTGCGGACATCCCACTTCCCGGAGGAATGGAAAAAGGCAAAATTATCGTCTTGCCGAAACCCGGGAAGGACAGACGTAAAGCTTCCAGCTACAGGCCGATTACGCTATTCCCACACATAGCTAAACTGTTTGAAAGATTGCTGCTAAGACGTCTCCGTCCGTGCATCCAACTTCGGGCGGAGCAGCACGGATTCAGGAGGGGTCACTCTACAGTCACACAGTTGACTAGAGTGCTGCACCTGCTTGCGGCAGAGTACAATCGTGGCCGCATATCGTTGGGCGTCTTCCTCGATATCGAGAAGGCGTTCGACCGGGTGTGGCACTCAGGATTACTATACAAGTTGCACGAACAGACCAGTGTCCCCCCTGCTATGTTGCGGTTAATGGCGTCTTTCCTGGAAGACAGGAAGTTCTACGTCTGCGTAGAGGACGCCGAGTCCGCAACAAGAACCATCAGTGCCGGCGTCCCACAGGGCAGTTGTCTGTCTCCAGTCCTGTACGCGGCCTATACGAATGATATTCCAACATTGGCAGGTAGGCTGCAAGAATGGGAGGACGACGTTGAGCTGGCGCTATATGCGGACGATAGCGCCTATTTCACCTCGTCCAGAAGAGCCCATATAGCCACTGCCAAAATGCAGCGTCTGCTGGACCTGTTGCCACCATGGCTGAACGAGTGGAGGATGGTCGTCAACGTTGGTAAG